AAGAAATATAGAGACCTGTAGCCTAAGAGGCTGGACCTGCAACTTCAGATGCAACAGAGGAAGTAGCCAACCTCGCCCAGGAACAACAAGGGATGGAGCAGGAATGAGATGATGGACAGTGTGAGCACCAGAATGAAATGTAAGGACACCAGGCTCCAAAGGAGTGACTGCAACCACAAACCATAGGTCAGTGCTCACAGGTGCTTGGTAGGGGAGGGAGGGTGGTTCATGATTTTTTTTCACCCAGATTGAATGAAACACTAATAAAACTTTTTTCCCCCAAAAAACTAAGTTTATATCTGTGCATGTAGTATATTTACTTGCCTTTTTATTTAAAGAAAGCCAGTATCTTTTACAAAATGTTAACAAAATAATAAGAATATTCAATAGTGAGAGAAACATGTAGCATTTTAGCGTGGCATCATACAAAACAACCCAACCTTAAATCAGAAGCACTTTATCTAAATGTATGTAGAAGCCAGCAAGTAATTATCCAATATGAATAGGAGAGGAAAAAGTTTTAATACCATACCTTCCTTATTTGCCATTCTCCCCAGTGCACCTTAAAAAAAAAGTAGACCTTTTTTTTTTTTTTTTTTTTTTAAATAAATAAAGCCAGAAGCTTCCCCCTACCCACCTGCTCCCAAGTCTCTTGCTAGGGAAGAGCGAAGCATTAACTCAGAGGGGAGGCTGCCACCTACTGGACCATCACTAACATCCGTCAACATTTTCTGTGGGCTCTTCAAGGTCTCCCAGCTTAAAATCCTGACTTGGCCTGAAGCTGCTTTGTTAGTGACAGTGATAAAATCATAACCCAAGATACTACTATACAGAAACTTAAAAGCTACAGCATGAATTAATCATAGGACAACCTCTTGCAAACTTCACAGCAACACTTTTGCTTTAAGCCTGCAATCAGAGAGCCTGCATTTTCAAAGGGGGAGGGAAAAAAAGCCCTTTCTCTCTGAATTTCTGTTGTTTTCTCTAAGGACAAAGTGCTTTAATAGTTGGTAAGTGCTGCTAATTGCTCCCTAGACAGCCCTAATCTGGCCATTTCCTCTCTGCCTTTTACTCTATAAATCCTTCAGAAGACTAATATATTGGTTTAGTATTCCTCAAAAGTACCCCCTTTGATTGGACTGGTTTCCATGTTTACAAATAGTTTCTCTACACCCACCATTTGAAAGAGCCTATGGTTAGAAAATCTTTTATTACTGATGCTCAGACCAACTCTAGGCTTATCACATCCCCAAGATCAACCACCAAACCCTCTCCTTTTTCTTTTTTTCTTTTTTTCTCTCTCTCTTTTTTTGAGAACACACCACCTTGAACTCAAAACAAGCAGAAAATCTGAGTTTTCTGCCTCCAACCAGTTCTATGCCTTGGGACAAATCACTGTGCCTCACATTCTTCATTCACGAAGTAGGAAAAAGAAACCTACTCTAATAATAATAATGGCTACACTTGATAGGTACACAGCTCACAGCTCAGTCACAATGGAGCACTTTCTCCTAGAACCCCGCCCATGAGGTAAGAATCATCACCCTAAAGAAGAGCGTGATTACCAAGGTCAACCATGGAGTAGAGGAGGTAGAATTCACACTCAGAGCTTCCAATCTGTGAGGACGATTCCTGCTCGCTCCTGCGATTGTTCTTGAGCAAGAGAGGGACTCAGATAAGTGAATGCACTCAATAAGGGTAAAGGTATATGCAAATTCACATTCCAGAAAGAACAAATACTATCCTTTGAGCCGATAACTTGGAAAAACTGGCCCCCGACAAAGACTTAGTACTCTAAGATGAAAAAATATTTGCCTGTAAGACCAGGCAAGCAAGATGGGTGGAAGGACGGACAGGTAGATAGATGGACAGATCGATTAGAAAGAGCTCTTCTGTTTATGACTCCTCTTTCAGAAAGTTTGCCAGTTATTCAAAAGGAACATTATTCTAGTTCTTTTTCATTTCCGGCTTTTTTCCCCTGCATGTTTGCAGATTGCTTAATTACTTCATTGGGCTTTGGAACTCATACATTACAGATACATGATCATCCAAGTCATTACCTGCACATTTTCCCATTAAGAATAATTATAGCTCTTACCACCACTGCCCATGTACTTATGTCCTGCAGGCCTGGGCACACTGAAGTAATCATCTTTTGAAAATGATCTTGATGGGCGGGTGTTGTGTGCACAATCAGTAATAAGCAAGATGAGGTGGGAAGACTTCCATCTCTTCCATTATTGAGTGGCTCAAAAATCACATTCCCCTTATGTCATCACAGTGCCATGCAGGACACTGGGCTGGTTTACATTCTCCTGAAAAGTGAGTTAGCACTAAATGCAGAGTCAAGACCCAGGGGATGCTGGATTGTATCTGCCTTTCCATGGATTATCTTTCTGAGCACGTACACATCACCCACTTCCTGGCTCAATTTCATTGTCTACAAAATGGGATTTATAAGATGCTTTAAAAACCTCCGATCATCAAATCTGAGATGGCACAGTCTTATTTAAGTGGCAAGATAGCTTTTTATACTGATTAAGAGCCCAAGTTGTGGCATAATGGCTCTTCCACTTTATCCACTCTATAACCTTGGGCATGTTACTTAACCTCTTGGAGCCTCAGTTTCTGCATCTGTAAAGAGAACACAGTGGTAGTCCATGCCCCTTAGAGATTCGGTGAGAGCCCACTAGTAAAATGCTTCGCCCAGTTCAAGGGACAGGTGAAAGTCCTGTGAATGTTCGCTCTGACTATTATCAGCAGTTCCAAACCGAAAGAGTCTGGGGTCTGTTCAACAAAGCTCGGGCAACACATCTAAATTAAAAACAATAATTGCCTGCCAGATAATAGTCCGAAGACATTGTGAAGGGGTCACACATTATTTTGATCAGTGGATCATGAAGAGGTTCAGTTTCAAAGGTAGGAGAGAGACAAGCTAGCAGATGTTTGAAAAAAATATTAAATTATAACCAAGAAAAAGCTGTTTAAATAAATGGTTAGTAAATAATCTACAACTGGTTTCTTGAAGAGCTCATCAATTATTCTTAAACTTTTTTTTAAAAAGTCTTTTATTTTCAATACAGCTGCAAAGTATTCACTGCTAAGTTTTTTAGATTTTAAAGACATACTGAAAAGCCTCCATTAAAATTGCCTTATTGCCACCTAGAAAAGGTTAATATTTTTGTAAATCATTCCACTAGCTCTCGCCCATGGTCTCTCTCGTATTACACTCCCCACATCCAATAAATAATGTGGTTCTGTATACATCCTTCTCTACATATTGCTCTTTCTACTTAGCTATGTATTGTAAACAACTTTTTATATCACTTAATATTCTTTTCATTTTCTTAATGGTTAGGTGACTCTCTATTCAGTTAATGTAATTTATTTAACCAAGCCTCAGTTGTGGGTTATTTTGGTTTGTTCCCAAACGGTTGTCATGAACAACCATGTAGCTAAGTCTTTGGATAAATTTCTAGAAGTGTGCTTGCTAGATCAATGAAAATACACTTTTTTTAAACAGTTGTTTTTTAAATTCCCATATTTTTAACTTGATTTGTACATATAGACCATCATCTTTTTTTTTTTTTTTTTTTGGAAGTGTGAACACAGTCCTCCACCCCAAATTGTGCAGTTGAGTTTCCCACAGTTGGGGAAACTGCAGAGGTCAGCATCCCCTTTTTGCACTGGATAAGCCTTGCCCTCAGAAAACCACCTTCGTGATGATGGTATCGCTCCTGCCAGGTAAGTATGACACATCCTCATCTTAACTAGAATTTGGTGTCCCCACTGGAAAAAAGGTCTGTGTTTCTTCTGGGACAGACTGTCTTTGAAGCACATTCTGCTGACACTCCTCGGTGGTGCTGTAAGTAGCAAATGGCCAAGGGTTCTGAGCACAGTGTCTACCTGGGTCCCAATAGACTAAACATGTCATATTTATAACCTTCTTAACTGTGCTTCCCATAAGCTGGGGACAGCAGAAACTTGAGTGTCCCAGCCAACATGCCCAACAGAATATGATTATCTAAGTGTCTGGGTCTCTTGGTTTTCTGGGACACATTTGGAGTCACTGAGGTGAGTAGGCTGTTGTGTAAAGCTGTCTGTTCAGAAACTTCAACCACTTTTTTAAAGTGATTTGAAATATAAGCTCGTATGTGCACAGAATATCTCTAGAAGGATACACAAGCAACTGGGGACAATGTTTGCCTCCGGCTAGGGTAAGTGAAAGGGAACACAACTGGGTGAGAGATTTCCTTTACACTGGATTCTTTGCACAGTTCTAATTTCTTGCCATGTGCATGGCTTCAAAAAGAGACATTTTTAAGCAAGAAAGATTAAGCCCAAAAGAAACAAGTATGCATGTAGATGTTTTCTCTTGGTGAGCTACCAGATTAGTAAAACATAAGCCAAACAAGGTACTTGAATGATTTTACAAAAAAGCGTATGAAGAGCTGAGTATTTAAGAATGCGAAGTCTGGAGCCAGACTGCCTGGGCCCATAACACAGCTCTGTCGCTTACTAGCTATGAGATCTTAGACAATTACTAAACTCCTCTGTCCCTCAGTGTGCTCATCCATAAAATGGGGCTAAATGTACTACCTACTTCACAGTTACTTGTATTCAATGAGCAAATACATAAAAGCCCTCAGAAAAGTAACTAGCACACAGCACATGATCATTATGTATTAGCTATCATTCCTGCTATGGTTGTTGCCATTATTCTTCACTCGATCTTTGTAATGTTAAAACCACAATAGCAAAGAGCCTTCCCTACGATTTGCAGACTTTGAAAATTAAAAGAGTAATTTTACTGGGGCACCTGGGTGGCTCAGTCGGTTAAGCATCAGGCTCTTGATTTCGGCTCAGGTCATGATCTCAGGGTGGTGAGATCGAGCCCCGTGATGGGCTCTGCACTGGGTGTGGAGCCTGTTTGGGATTCTCTCTCTCCCTCTCCCTCTGCCCCTCCGCCCCCCCCAAAAAGAAAAGCAATTTTACTGCAAGTGTCTGATTTTCTGTTATTTACAACTATGCAAATAGTCGAGGGTGGGAGGGTTGGGGAGAGGTGCAAAACTTCCTTTTAGTTAATAGTGATTCCGGATTTGAGAATTGCCACAAGTCTGCAAGAGTAAGTGACCCAAACCATTTGGGGAGTTTGGTTTTTGTTTTCTTTGTGTGTCAATATGCTTTTGTTTCTCTCTTCTTTTGAGCATGGGTGGGGTGCAGGGGAGGAAGAGACAATGGTTAAGCAACAAACACTAAAGTTGCAGTACCCATTTAACGTGACTGCCCCTTAAACAACTGTGTATTTAAGAAGCACATATTTTTAAATTTTAATTCCAGTATAATTAACATAGTTATATTAGTTTTAGGTTTACAATAGAGTAATTCAACAATTCTGTATCTTACACTGTGCTTATCACAGTAAGTGTACTCTTAAGGAAGCACATGTTTTGAAATCAGTATTTGCCTAAGGAAACCATTCACAAGATAGGAAGGCATTAAAGATTCCTGAAAACATTCTAATGCCACCTACTGTGCATAATGTGCTCAGTCATTGGAAATGTATTGCTGGCAAAGCAGATGATATGGTGACGGGGACAAGTAGACTCTGCTGTCACACAAGCCCGGATACATTCTTTTGCCCAATATTTTACTGAACATGATACACAGAGCGCTGTTATTATGCCTGTTTTATGGGTGACCCCTGCTGCCTCATTTCAATGTGGCTCTTCCCCAGCTGCCAGGGTCATTGGAGTGTGATCTCTCCTCCAGGATTTTAGGTCCAGGCCACCCCCAAACCCAGGTCAACATACTTAATTAACGAGAGTACAGCAGATGCTAGTTGTAAGGATTCTTTTCTGAGGCCTCCGCAGATTCGGTGCTGTGCCTCACACACAATAAGCATTTGCTGAGTGAATCCCCAAATTCATCATGAGGCTATAACACAACACTGCTCCCAGAAACACGGGACTTTATCTCAAGCGCCCTGGATCCATCAGACCTTCAGGCATAAAAAGGCTATGTTGTTTGGTCCAGAGTTCCTCCCTTCTCCGCTTCTTTGACTGCCAAAGGTGATTCAGATAGGGCAAAGGGTCAGAATTGGATCCAAACAGTCAAGTCTAGTTAGAAAACATTTTCATTGCATAAGTGCAGGTTGTGTTAAGCTTAGAATTATGATCCCCAGTACTCCCTATGATAATACCTTTAAAAACAAACTGCAAATTGGCTTAATTTTACTAAATTATTCAAAATCCAACAAGTGTGAAGAAGTGGGTCCCATGATGAATGATCTGATAGTCTAAAAATGGAGACAAATGTTGAAACTAATATAACATTGTATGTTGTTATATTTCAATAAAGATTAAAAGTAAAAACAGAGACAAATGTCTATCCTGCTCTCCTTCGATGACACGGACAGCATCCAGCTTGCCTGGTCATTATAGTAGGAAGCAATGAGCAAAGATACCACAGAGCTCAGCATTCCCCTACGGATTAGACATTTTCTTTGAACAGTGATAGAACTGCACAACATAATTTTAAAGAAAGAACATTTAGAATGTTATACACTTTTTGAATAAAAATGGAGCAAACTATACTTAAACCTCCTAACTTAGAATTTGTCAAGACACTAGATCCAGACATTTCAAAAGCAATATGAGAGTGAAACACAAAGACACTGATGGATACAGATTAACCGATGGGATAATGTGCTTGTCTCCTCAGTGGCCACAAGCTACATGGCATTAGCATTGTTACATTTCCGCCATATACAGGGAACAGCTAAGTTCGTGGGATGCAATCTGTCTTGATGATATTAAGGCTGAGATGGCCCTTTGGGGTTTGTAGGCATTTTAATTATAGGTACATTTTTTTATAATTTTAACTGAGGTTATTGTATAAACATTTTTAATGCATCCTCATTATTAGGCTAAGGAAAGAAATCTATTTCTGCCAACAGAGAGCAAATAAATCTTCACTATCTCTTTGGTCCACTAGTTTACGTTTAGAGCATCACACCTTTACTGAAAAGCTGTTGGAGACATATGCTCTCATTATTATCCTGCAGTGATTTATCACTTAACTCTGAAACAGGCAATATATCCAACTTACCCGCTAACTGGTGTCCTATTCCAATTACCATTAATTAACTCAAAATATGTTACTTTTACACAAACAAAGCATTATTTTTAAAATCCTATGCTTTGAACTGCCAACAGATATTTATACATTTCTTTAGCTAATATTTATTGAAAACCTATTATGTGCCCAACACCGTGTTACTCGGTATTTTTTAAGCCTTCCAAATATATCTCAACCTTCTAATATGAAAATTTATTCTCAAAAAAAAAGCGAATTTGTGAGAAGAACCCCAGTGCCAGAATGTACAAATACAAGACGGCGGGTTTTCATACCAGCTATGCCGATGATCCGTGTGTGTGACTCAGAAGTCATGTATCTCTCTGGGCCTCTGTTTCTTCACCTGCAAGAGTAGCAGTAATTTTTCTCGACCTGATTCAGCTGTTAAGAGAAACGGCTAATAAAAATTGTTGCGAAATCCCATGAATATTGAAAAGTACATCATCATCATGATTAATAATAATGTATAAAGCTCAAATATTGAAATGACTCTCTGGCATCATTCCAAATCAAGAAATATAAGCTCTGGTCTTGCATAGTAATGAAGAGAAACAGTGTGAGATACACTTACTGTACCAGTTCAAATGAACATAGTGATGAATATCTTTAATTACAGTGTATTCTGTAACTGTGTGTGTGCGGGTGTGCATGCGTGCGCATAAGCGCGCGCGCGTGTGTGTGTGTGTGTGTGTGTTAAACTAAATGTACTGCAATCCTCTCAATAATATATCTAGGGCTCCAACAGAACCATTCCCAAACCAGGCAGACATTTATATATCTGTACCTAACCTTAGAATGGAATGCTCATTTTGATAGAGAAGGTAAGCAGCTAGCAGTCCTCTGTTAAAGAAAGCTGGCTCTGATTTCATAGATCTCAAAATCTGTCATCCTCACGTTAGCTGACTATCTGGCACCTAATGAGAAAAACAAATTACTTTTACTTTCTACGAAAGACATTTGCATTTAGAACTTTTTTTGACTCGTAAAAGGTTTATAAAGCATCCACTCAAGCCATTCTACCTGCATTTTTCACCTAAAAGGGTCTTTATGAAATCTTACAGTAAATTTAATAACCCTCTTCAATAAACATGAGCTTTTATGAGTATGACATATCTAAATAGACTCAATGGTCTGGGAATAAAATCTGCATCAGTAATATTTTCAGTGCCGTAATACCCTACATATTAAGGGGGAAAAGCCACATACAGAGCAGACTCCTGCATAAGAAAAACAATTAGTCTCCAAGTTTAAGAAAGCAACTGGTCAGTGAACACTTGGGTGACTCATTAAGTTAAATGTGAAATGTCCTGATGTGTATGATATCGAGTTTCATGATATTCGAACATTAGCATCTTTCATTTTCTTCCATTTTTAGCAAATGCACATTATAGAAATAACTTCAGAAATGGCCTTCAGTAATCACTCATACTGCGTTTTTCAGGAGAGCGACCTTCACATGAAGCGCTTCAGCATCTCCATCACCTCCGGGGGGGCTTCTGCTTGGGTGAGCTGCTTACACGAGCCCTATTGCTGCGGGCATCTCATAGCTCCTTTCACCAGGTAAGCTACCAAATTAGGCACGAGACTGGGACCCTCATTTCTCCTCTTGCTGGTG